TTAATCCTCACCTGAGGATATTTTTTCATTGATTTTTAGAAAGGGAGAACTGCCAGGGGGAGAGAGAGAAACATCAATGTGAGAGAGACACATTGACTGGTTGTCTCCCACATACAACCAACCTGGGCTAGGTCAAAACTGTAACTGAGGTATGTGCCCTTGACTAAGAATGGAACCTGAGACCCTTTGTTTGACAGTCTGATGCTCTAACTCAGGGGTGGGCAAACTTTTTGACTCGAGGGCCACAATGGGTTCTTAAACTGGACCAGAGGGCCGGAACAAAAGCATGGATGGAGTGTTTGTGTGAACTAATATAAATTCAAAGTAAACATCATTACATAAAAGGGTACGGTCTTTTTTTTTTTTAGTTTTATTCGTTTCAAACGGGCCGGATCCGGCCCGCAGGCCGTAGTTTGCCCACGGCTGTTCTAACTACTGAGCAAAACCAGCCAGGGCTGAGCAAATTATTTAACCTATGTTCCTCAGTTTCCTTGTCTACAAAATGAGCATAGCACTATTGTGACCATTAAATGGGTGGAAACATCAATGGAACTTAAAACAAGTATGAAGCAATTACCCAATAATATTGTTGTTCACTGTTTACCCTCAGTGTTTGCCATAATGGCTGGCACAATGGAAGAGGAAGGAACACAGATATATATATACACATACATATTTTAGTTGATTTTTAGAGCAAGTGGAAAGGAGAGGGAGAGAGAGAGATCGATGAGAGAACTTGCCCTCCTGCATGCCCCTACTGGGAATCAAGAACCCCTACTGAGGATCAAACCTGAAACCTGGATGTTGTGCCCTGACCCAGGAATTGAACCAACAATCTTTTGGTGCATGGAACGATGCCCAACCAACTGAGCCACACCGGCCAGGGCCAGAAATATTTTCTGAGAGAATAACTGATACCATTAATGAAGGAAAAGATGACCAGATTTGTTAACAAAAATTTTAGAACTTCTGAATAGCAAAAAAAAAGAACTCTCATAAATTTAAGTCAAATTAAAATTGGGGAAACCTAAGAATATAATACAAAGGGTTATCATTTTTAATTTTATGAAGAATCTTGGTAAATCAAAAAGAACAAAAGATTAACACACCTATAAGGCAAAAGATTCCAAGAAAAGCAATATAAAACATGACAAAATGTCAATGACCGATAAACATGAATATTTGTTTAACATCACTAGTAGAAAAAGTACTCCATTTAAAGTGGTCTCACTTTTCACCTACCAAATTAGCAAGGGAAAAAGAGACGAATAATATCTAGTTTTGAAAAGGGTGAAGAGAAAGTGGCAAACTTGTGCACCATGGTAGGACATGACATTGCAGCAATACATTTCAAAAGCTTATTAACTCTATATACTTTTTAGCTCAATGATTATTCTTTTAAGATTAAGAAATTATTAATTTTAAGTACAACTTTAGTTATAAGATGTTCATGCAAATATTATTTTAATAGAAACTATAGGAGTCAACTTCAGTTTTCAACAAGAAATTGTGATACAGATAATTGAGTACTATGCAATCATTACAGTGTCATAGAAATCTATTTACTGAAGAGAAACATGTGTGCAATATACAATTAAGTGCAAAACAATCCTATATAATAAAAGCCTAATATGCAAATTGTCCCCATGGGTGGTCATTCGACCCGGAGAATGGGAGTTTGACCACTCTCTATGACGTGCGCTGACCACCAGGGGGTAGCGCGAAACATGGTGGGTGTCAGCGATGTGCTGCAACCTCTCACCAGCTACCTGGGGACGGAGTGACGGGGACAGAGGTGCAGTGAGAATGCGAGGTGTCTGCCGAGCTTGCTCTCACTCCTCCTGCTCCCCTCCCTTGGGACACCAGGGCTTGCGCTCAGGTGATGGGCGCCCACGAGCCTGCCCCGCACCTGCACTGCCTCTTCGCTCCCTGTGGGTTTGCGCAGGAGCTAGTCTGTGAGGCTGGCCGGGAGAGAGTGCACTGCCTGCCCAGCTTCCATGCAGCACCGCTGGGCAGCCAAGAGGCCTACACTGCGTCCTGGCCTGCCGCGTCTGGCCGCACTCATCGCATCTCCACATGGAAACTCAGGCACCATGACTCAGGCGCAGGGGGGTGCACAGGAATCTGGGGGCCCAAGTGCAGCCCAGGGCCCAGAGGTCAGCTGGGACCTGCCCTTCCATGCTAGACACTTATGCTTCAATCGCTGGCCAGGTCTAGGGACCGCACCTGTGCACAAATTTCGTGCACCAGGCCTCTAGTTCAGGTTACAATCAAGTATGGTCAATGTTCAATAATTTTATAAGAATACTAGAGGCTCGGTGCACGAAATTCATGCACTGAAGGGGAGGTGTCCCTCAGCCTGGCCTGTGGCCTCTTGCAGACCAGGACCCCTCAGGGGATGTCCACCTGCAGTCAGACATCCCTCTCTGAGTCTGGGGCTCTCGCAGTCCCTTGCTCCTTACCACCTGCCTGCAGCGAAGGTGGGAGAGGCTCCCACTACTGCCACTGTACTTGCTAGCTGTGAGCCCGGCTTCTGGCTGAGTGGCACTCCCCCTGTGGGAGTGCACTGACCACCAAGGGGAAGCTCCTGCGTTGAGCATCTGCCCCTTGGTGGTCAGTGCATATCATAATGACCCATCATTCCACCAGTCATTTTGCCATTCTGTCAATTTGCATATTATGGTTTTATTATATAGGATTTGGAGCAGAGAGAAAAGAGAGAGAGAGAGAGAGAGAGAGAGATGATAGATAGGTAGATAGATAAATAGTTAGATTCTGGATAGACTTACATCAAAAGATTTGGAATTATTATTCCTGGGATATGACCGTTGCAGATTTTATTTTTATCTTTTCCCTTTTTAAAATGTATATCTTTTAATTTCAAGAGAAACTTTATACATTATTTTTAAACTTAATATTTTGGTGCTTCAATAATATAGGAGACTGAATTTCAAACATTGCTGATAACTAAAATCATTACTAAATGTGGAAATTTTTACTTTCACAATTTCTGTAGAGTGACATTCAAGACCAAATTAACACCTTGGGATTCAAAATTGGTGCAGGATCTTGTTCCACCACTACCAAAAGGTGCACAGTTGTCCACACTCTATATATTTAACTTGTCTTAATAACAGAGCAACCATCTATATCTATATATATAAAAAGCCAGCAACCATAACAATTTAACAACTGGGCGATTGGTTGCTATGATGCCCAGCCCCTGCCCCTGGCTGGCCCCACCACTGATCAGCTTCTCCCACCCCGATTGAAGTGGCCAACTTCCCCAGGGCCCCTCGCCCAGGCCAGCCTCACCCCCCAACAGGAACCCCAACCCCAATGGGGACGTCGCCAGCCTGCAAACTGACCATGGTCCCTTGCCGAGGCTGGCCCTGCCTCCCAATGGGGACCCCCCACCCTGATGCGGGCATCGCCAGCCTGAAAATCACCCCATCCCCTTGCCCAGGCCAGCCCTGCCCCCAGCAGGGACCCTCCCACCCCAATCAGGGGCGTGGCCCCTCACCCAAGCTGGCCTGCAAACCACCCATGGTCCCTGGCCCAAGCTAGCCCCGCCCCCAGAGGGGACACCCCACCCCAATCAGGGGTGTGGCCCCTCACCCAGGAGGCCCCGCCCACAGCAGGGACCCCCTCCCTGATTGGGGGTGTGGCCGGCCTGCAAACTACCCGCAGCCCCTCACCCAGGGAAACCCCACCCCAACAGTGGGTGTGGCTGACCTGCAAACCGCCTACAGTCCCTTGCCCCAGCCAGCCCCGCCCCCCACCCAGATCCGGGGCCCCCATCAGGGCAGGCCAGCTGGCCCCCACCCATGAACCAGGCCTCTATCCTTTATAATAAAAGGGTAATATGCAAATTGACCATAAAGGCGGAATAATCAAAACAACCGCTGGACCAGTCACTATGAGGCGCACTGACCACCTCTCAGTTCCTTTCCACAGCCAGCATGCTCCGATCGCCTGATGATGAACGAGGAACCAAGCGTGGGTGGCGGAGGATGTGGGCAGTGCCAAACCAAGGCCTCCACCCCACTGGTCACCCCACACACAGAGGGCAACCCACAGTGGGGCGGGGCTGGTGAGCGGGCAGTAACAGCTGACCTCTCAGTCCCTTCTTCTGGCCGTCAGGCACTGATCACCCTATGGCGAAAGGGGTGGGTGGCAGCAGGGGTTGGGTGGCGGCAGGATTTGGGGCCAGCTGTGGGCAGCCGGGAAGGATGGCCCTGATCACAGGCCAGGCCTAGAGACCATACACGTGCACAAAATTTGTGTGCTGGGCCTCTAGTTTATTTATAATGATGTCCAAAGGTATATTTCAAAAATATTTATTAAATATATTATTAGTATTAATAATATTACTGCTTAAATTTTTCTATTAAAAACTGTGATAAAATTCCAAAGCAACTTGAGCAGATAAATGGTAATAAAATAGTTATCAAATTAATTGAAATATTGTTATTAAAATGAAATAATTTGTACTAAGTAGTGGTTTCTTAACCCACTGAAATTTCCTCCCTTGTCTAAAATGAGCTTTTTATAAAGAATAAACATATATTAAATTTATAAAAATGTTGTTTAATAACTGAAGGAATAAATAACAATAACAACAAAAAGTTATGAATTACATGGCAATGGTTATATTTTCTTGTTTACCTGTAGAGAAGACCATGCTCATGAATATACTGAATCCAGTGATAGCCAAGATGTCATCCACACTGCTAGCAGCCATTAGTAAGGTTGGAATGCCTTTCTCAACACCATATCCGTCTTCTTGCAATTGTAGCATGGAAGGGACAACAACAGCAGGAGAGACAGCACCTACTACAAAACTGAGAGAAGACTTTGAACACCAATTTTAAAACATCCACTTTACCAAATAGTTAATTTTATTAAAATTTATAGCAGATATATTTTTACAACTTTATGTTAAGTGTAAAAATTCAGCTTTTGAGTGAATGCCATTTAATGATGGTAAAATGTCTCTCTCACCCAGCCCCTGGCAATATTTGTCCTGGCTTATTTCACTCAGCATAATGTCATCAAGGCTCATCATGTTGTAGACCAGTGGTTCTCAACCTTCCTAATGCCGCAACCCTTTAATACAGTTCCTCATGTTGTGGTGACCCCCAACCATAAAATTATTTTTGTTGCTACTTCATAACTGTAATTTTGCTACTGTTATGAATCGTAATGTAAATATCTGATATGCAGGATGTATTTTCATTGTTACAAATTAAACATAATTAAAGCATACTGATTAATCACAAAAATAATATGTAATTATATGTGTTTTCCAATGGTCTTAGGCGACCCCTATGAAAGGGTCGTTCAACCCCCAAAGGGTAGCAACCCACGGGTTGAGAACTGCTGTTGTAGACAGTGACAAGATTTCTTTCTTCCTTCCTTTCTTTCTTTTCTTTTTTTTTTTTTTTTTTTTTTTTACAGCTGAATTATATCCCATTGTATGTATATACCACATTTTCTTTACCTATTCATTTGTCAATGGTTATTTGGGCTTTTCCCACCTTTTGCCATTGTGAATACTGTTGCAACATCTCTCTAAAATCCTGATTTCAATTCTCTTGGTTATATACTCAGAAATAGGATTACTAATTTTATGGTGATTCTATTTTTGTGTGTTTTTTGTTTTGTTTTGTTTTGTTTTTGAAGAACCTCTAAACTGGTTTCCAAGTTTTATTCCCAATAGTAGTGCACAAGGGTTCCAATTTCTGCATATCTTGGTCAACAACTGTTATTTTGGTTTGCTTGTTGTTGTTTTTAAACATGTTTTTATTGATTTTTAGAGAGAGAGAAAGGGAGAGGGATAGAGAGATAAAAACATCAATGAGAGGAACATCATCGATTGGCTGCCTCCTGCACTCCCTCTACTAGGGATCAAGTCTGAAACCTGGGCACGTGCCCTGACTGGGGATCAAACCAGCAACCTCAACCACTGAATTACATCAGCTGGGGTCTGTTTGTTTGTTTTTGAATAGTCACCACCCTAATCGGTGTGAGTTGATATTTCATTGTTAATTAGTATTTCTCTAATGATTAAAAATGTTGAGCACTTTCATAAGCTTGTTGACCATTTGTGTATCTTTTTTGGGCAAATGTTTATTAAAGTCATTTGCCATTATTTAGGTAGGTTTTTTTGTTTTTGAGTTGTAGGAATTCTTCATATGTTCTAAATATTGATTTCTTTTCAGATATATGTTTTGCAATTATTTTATCCCATTTTGTATGTTGCCTTTTGTCTATGTTAGTGTTTCATTTGCTGTGCAGAAATTTTCAAGTTTTATTAAGTACCATCTATTTTTGCTTTTGTTGACTGTGTTTTTAGTGTCAGATCTAAGAAATCATTGCCAAATTCAATGTCATGAAGCTTTTACATGAAATTTGCTGGAATACAGTATTCTTGGTTGGCAGTGTTTTGTTTTTTTTCTTTTAGCATTTTGTTGTTGTTGTTAATACTCACCCAAGAACGCTTTTCTATTGATTTTTTAAGGAGAATGTTAGAGAGAGGGAAAGACAGAGAGAAACATCAATGTGAGAGAAACACATCCATTAGTTGCCTTCTGAAAGTGCCCTGACCAGGGCTGGGGTCGGGGAGGAGCCTGCAACTTAGATATGTGCCCTTGACCAGAATTGAACCCAGGACCGTTTGGTCCACAGGCCGACGCTCTATCCACTGAGCCAAACAGGCTAGGGCTCTTTAAGCATTTTGAATCTTCCAGTACATTCTAGCCTACAAGTTTTCTGCTGAGAAATGCAATTAATATCTTACGGGAACTCTTGCTTTTTTTCTGCTACTTTCAAGATTCTCTCTATCTATGACTTATGACAGTTTGAGTATAGTGTGTCTCAGTGTAGGTCTTTTTGGTTTTACTCAAGTGGAACGTCTTTGAGCTGCTTAAGTTTGTATGTCCATTTCATCTCTCAATTTGAAAGTTTTTACCCATTATTTCTTCAAATAGGCTTTCTGACCATTTATTTCTCTCTCCTACTCCTAGAACTCCCATAATGTGTAGATTGGTCTATTAAAGGGTATCCTATAAGTCCCTAGGATCTCTCCACTTTCCTTTGTTCTTTTTTTTTTTCTCCACTAACTTGATTTCAAATAACCTTGGCATCAAGTTCACTAATTCTTTCTTCAGATTGATCCAGTCTATAATTGATCCCTGTAGTCATTCCACCCACCCCCAATTTTGTTATTGTATACTACAGTTTAAAATTAATTTTTGTTCTTTTATATAGTTTCTATTTCTTTATTGGTAACCTCATTTGATTCATGCCTAATTTTCCTGATATGCTTATTTTTTATATTTTTAAATTTATCTTTTTTATTGTTGAAAGTATTACACGTCCCCTTCTCCCCCACTGACCCCCTCCAAACTACCCAGGCCCCCTCCCCCCATGACTTTCACCACACTATTGTCTGTGTCCAAGGGTTATGCACATAAGTTCTTTGGTTAATCTCTTCCTGCCCTCTCTCTCCGCTTCCCTCTGAGATTCATCAAAAAAAGTCTGTTCCATACTTCCATGTCTCTGGATATATATTTTTTGTCACTTTTTTAATTAGATTCTGCACATAAGTGAGATCATATGATACTTGTCTTTCTCTGATTGGCTTATTTTGCTTAGCATAATACTCTTCATGTCCCTCCATGTTGTCTCAAAGGGTAAGAGATCCTTCATTTTTATAGCTACATAGTATTCCATTGTGTAAATGTACCACTTCTTTTTTATTCACTCATCTACTGATGAGAACTAGGGCTGTTTCAAGATCTTAGCTATTGTAAATAACACTGCTATAAACATAGAGGTGCATATATCCTTTCTGATCTGTGTTTTGGGATTCTTAGGATATATTCCTAGATGTGGGATCCCTGGGTCAAATGGCAGTTCCATTTTTTATTTTTGAGGAAACTCCATAATGTTCTCCATTGTGACTGCACCAGTCTGCATTCCCACCAGCATTTCTAGCTTCTTGATGGTAGCCATTATGGCAGGTGTGAGGAATACCTCATTGTTTTAATTTGCATCTCTGATGATTAGTGATTTTGAGCATTTCTTCATATCTCTTGACCATATGTACGTCCCCTTTAGAGAAGTATCTATTTAGGTCCTTGACCCATTTTTTTAATTGGGTTATTTGTCTTCCTTTTATTAGGTTGTATGAGTTTTTTATATATTTTGGAAATTAACCCCTTATGGGATCCCTTTCCATTTTGTTGATGGTTTCTTTTGCTGTGCAGAAGCTTTTTATTTTGATGTAGTCCCATTTGTTCATTTTCTCTTTTGTTTTCCTTGCCCTAAGAGATATATCGGCAAACATATTGCTACAAGAGATGTCTGAGATTTTGCTGCCTATCGTTTCTTCTAGAATTTTTATGGTTTCACAACTTACACTTAAGTTCTTTATCCATTTGAAGTTTATTCTTCTGTATGGGGTAAGTTGGTGGTCTAGTTTCATTTTATTTTTTTGCATGTATCTGTCTAATATCCCTAACATCATTTACTGACAAGATTGTCTTTACTCTTCCTGACATTTTTAGATGTCTGTGTTCTCTTTTAGCTCCCTGAGCATTTTAAAGATGTTAGTTTGAAGTATTTGGTGAGTAATTCATACATTTCCATTTGTTTAGGAATGGCTTCTGGAGTTTTAGGTGTTCCTTTGATATGTCTTGTTATCATTTGGTGAAATTTGCATATTTGAAAACAGTCTTTATAGACTATCTTCACTATGGAGAGATCTTCACCAATCAGCCCAGCTAGAGATTCTAGGGACCTCTCAAACCTTTCTGGGATATATCTTCTCTGGGCTTGGGTGTGTTATCTTCAGGTGAAGAGTTTTGCCTTTTCCTACTCTGGAGCATCCCCAGGGGTCTATCTGCAATACTGCAATACCTCTAGAGCTGTAGCAATCCATAGGACTCAGGCATCTAAAGTTTGCCAGTCTCTCTCTCTCTCTTTCTCTCTCTCTCTCTCTCTCTCTCTCTCTCTCTCTCTCTCTTTCTCTCTCTGTAATCCTCACCCATTGATTTTTAGAGGAAGTGGAAGGGAAAAAGGGAGGGAGAAAGAGAGAGAGAAAGAAACATTGATGTGAGAGAGACACATTGATTGGTTGCCTTCTACATGTGCCCCACCTGAGGCCGGTATCAAAACTGCAACCCAGCTATGTGCCACATAGTAAGCACTTTAAAAGTGTTTGCTACTACTATAATTATTGTGACAAGAAACAATAGTGAGCAGTGAAATTTATTGCTAAATCTATAGAAGCAATAAATTCATTGTAAAGAACTTAAAAATAATCTTAGTGAGGGAATAGACAAAAAAGTGGGGAAAGTGACAACTTGTTATGAATTAAAGAATGTGTTTTCCAAAATTATAGGTAATCATTAGGAGGAGGAGTTTCTAATTTCTAATCAGGATATGTTTTACTGATGTTTACAGAGAGAGAGGAATGGAACGGGGGAGAGAAAGTGAGAAAAACTTCAATGTGAGAGAGAAACATCATTGTGATAGAGAAACATCAATCAGTTGCCTTGGGTACTCACCCCAACCAGGGATCAAATCAACAACCTGGGTATGTTCCCTGAACAAGAATCAAACCCTTGAACTTTCAATTACAGGATGATGCTCCAACCCCTGAGCACACCAGCCAGGGTGAGTTTCTAATTTCTAAAGATTAAAGGAATAAACAAAAGTAGAACAACAAAAATGCTGTTAATCTAGCAAAAGTGAAAGAAAAGAATGAAATTCACGTGAACATACAATATTTTAAGTGTTTTTAAAAATTGATTTTAGAAAGATATTGAGAGAGAGA